TGTATAGCTTACCATTTTAGACATTAAATGGCCTGAGTTTTAAATTAGTTCTCTTGTCTTGTCTGCCTCTCTTTCTCTCGTTTTTGCCACATTCTTGATCAGCTTTCATTCTATAAGACAACTGCCTTTTGCAGGTCAGCTCAGATCCTTCCATGTACATTGAAGTGGAGAATGACATTACGTCAGCGGGAGGTTCTAAACTGAGCAGGCTAAAGTGCAATCGAGAAGGCAAAGAGTGGGAAACGGTCCTCACCAGCCGGATTCTCTCAGCAGCGGGAAGCTGGTAAGTGCATTTGTTGGTGTTAGCCAAAGGTTGAACTAGAATGCTTTCAGGCCAGAACCATTCAGTTGGTAATGTGTGTTTGTATAGAACAGGGTTCCACAACATCATTGAGCTTTGGGCGCTCGTGGAATTTTCAGAACATTGAGTGGATGCCCCACCAAATGGCTGCCATTCGGAGCATGGGTAACTGCAAAATGGCTGCAATGGGGGTCTGTGTTCAATATTGCGAGATTCCAAGACATTGTTTCTTCCTGTGATGAAGATTTATTTTTATTTGCTTGACAAAATGTATACCCCTTTGTACCTTTCTGTCCTCATACAGGCCACCAAGGCAGCGAACAAATTAAAACATGCATAGTAGTAAAACCACACTTTAAAAACATTAAAAATCAGCTACCCTTCCACATCATTAAAGCAATTAAAATACAGCACTAAAATACACATGAAAGACACAAAAACAACAGTTAAAACTTTGGGCAGGAAGGAGGGATCATGAGTCTCACTGAGGAGAGAGCTGAAGAATTTTTGTGCCGTGTCCGAGAAGACAGTTTCTACATAGATGCTCTCTGCAAAAAGAAAGGTGATGGCTCCTGGACTCTTCTGAAGCACTTACTGCTCCAAAGAGATGGAGGGAAGCCAGGATTAGCTCTTTGCCTCGAGGAAAATGTACTTTGGAAATGAAGAAAGTGGACACCTGAAAACACATGGGTGGGCACCATGTTGGGGGATCACTGGTATAGCATTTCATGATGTTCAGAGCGCTTCATGGAGACTAGCTCATTGTAATCTTCACAACAACTCTGTAAAGTAGGTTAGGATTACTGTGCCCATATTGCAGATAAGCCTTTGAACCTGGCAGAGTGGTTTGGTTAAGGCTACCTTACCAAGTCCATGGCAGAGGTGAGATTTGAACTAGGGACTTCCTGATTCTAAACCTAGTCTATTAGCAACTGCCCACTGTGGCTTATATTTCCAATTCCAATTCCAATAACCTTTATTGGCGTAACACTTATATTTCATTACAGGTATCTTTAAGGATTTCGTCATCTAAAAAAAGAAATCATATGCTTAAAACTTATGCAAAAACAGAAAGAGCCTGTTAATTAAAAAAATATTAAATAACAAAAGCTGTTTAGATATACCACAAGCAGGAAGCCAGTTAAGAAAAGCAATCAGATTATTAAGTGGCAGAGATATGATTATGAATGGATACTGGAGAAGAATAAGGAAACTGAAGAACCAAAATGAATTCTGTGCTTCACTCTTTAATGTTCTCCTTTTCTGACACACGAGCCTTGGACCCGTCTCACGGTTATGCGTCAGTGTTTCGCCTTCAGTGCTTTCTGTTGCCACTCTGAGCTGAGTTTTCTCTCCTGCTTCTTTCCAGCGAGGTGGTGAGCGTCGCTTGTGAAAAGCGGACCCTCTCGGTGTTTTCAGCTTGTGGCCGCCGCCTTCTCCCTCCCATCGTCTTGCATTCACCTATCTCCACCTTGCACTGTACAGGCTTCTACATCATGGCTCTTACAACTGCCGCAACCCTCTCCGTCTGGTAAGTGGTGGGCTTTCTGATTGCACTGCATTGGTCAGAGCAAAACATTTCTGAATGCCATGAGCTGAAGCCATTCTGTTGTGTCCATGTTCAGATGGCAAGGTAAACCTCTGCTTAACAAAGTTTGAATCCAGTGGCACCTTTAAGACCAACAAAGCTTTATTGAAAGTATAAGCTTTCATGTGTGTGCACAGAAAACCTTATACCTTGAATAAAACTTTGTTGGTCTTAAAGGTCCCACCGGACTCCAACTTTGTTCTGCTGCTTCAGACCAGCAACCCACCTGAATCAAACCTCTGCTTGTTCGTGATGGGCACCAACATGGCTTGTTTACTGTGCTCACGTACTCCCTCCTCCTCTCATGCACAGGGCATGATTTGAATCTGCTTTGGAAAGATTTCCATCAGGCTTCAGTTCACCCTGGTGTCCAAATTCAGGCATCTTAGCAAATTGGAGTTGTGGGCGTTTGGATCCGTTCTGGTTTAGAATCTCGGGGTGTGGGAAGGAAACATACACCGGTTTTAGCAGGCGCCTATGTTCAGAGCTGCGGTGGCTCAAGTGGTTAAGACGCTGAACTGCAGGCTGTGGAAGGTCGGTAGTTCAGCAGTGCAAGCCCCGAGTGTACCACATGACGGAGTGAGCTCCCGTCTCTAGTTCCAGCTCCTGCCAACCTAGCAGTTCGAAAGCAAGAAATTGCAAGTAGATAAATAGGTACCACTTCGGTGGGAAGGTAACAGCGTTCCGTGCGCCTTGGTGTTTAGTCATGCCGGCCACATGACTACGGAAATGTCCTCGGACAGCGCTGGCTCTTCGGCTTTGAAATGGAGATGAGCACCGCAACCCTAGAGTCGGATTCGACTGGCTTTCGAGCAAGGGAACCTTTACCTTTTTTATGTTCAGACACTTGTCAAGTTTGGACAAGGCTTCCCAAGCCAGGAAGCTTTCAACCATTTGTAAGAGGGAGGGTGCAGGGAGGAAAGATGGAGCATGGCAAACAAGCCATGTTCATGCCCATCACAGATGGTCACTAAGGCCAGTTGTGATGTCTGAAAAGCGGTCATAGCCTTGGTGGATGATAGTCCTTGCCATTGGAAAGAATGGCCCTTGTTGTAGAATGGGTGTATGTGTTCCTGAGGTGAGCTCTGCTGGCTGAGAATCATAAAGGCTGCCCTACCAACCGGCAGAGAAAACCAGAGGAGGCAGAAATGTCTCATATAGGGATGGTCAACATACAAACAAACCCTGCGATATGACCAACATTAGTACGATAGCTTTTTAAAACTTTATAAGATTGCAAAAGTTTTTGCAATCTTATAAAGTTTCAAAAAGCTATCGTACTAATGTTGGTCATATCGCAGGGTTTGTTTGTATCTTGAGTTTCCTGTTGGATAACTGTGATCCCTTTTGTTTTTTGCTGTTCATATAGGGGTGGAGCAGCTGCTGGCTGCCTCCCTTTAGCTCTCTGCTCCTCCTCTTCTCAGCTGCCATGGGAAATTAGCTGCTGCAAATGGCTGTTGCTAAGAAAACCAAACCAACTGTGGAATGGGCAGCTACTGGTTTCTCTCCTGGGGATGTGGCTTCTGTGGCGCACCAGCTTTCTCAGCCTTTTATTGGAACATTCTCAGCAGCCACAACTCATAGGAACATATGAAGAGCCCTGCTGGATCAGACTAGCAGTCAGTTTTGTCCAGCATCCTGTCTCACACAGTGGCTAACCAGTTCCTCTGCAGGGCCAGCAACAGGGCATAGAGGCCGAGGCCTTCCCTTGAGTTTCGCCTCCTGGCTCTGGGATTCAGAGGCTTAGTGCCTCTGAATGTGGAGGTTCCTCTCAGTCACCATGGCTAGTAGCAAAAGCTTCCCACAGCAAGCGCATCACATACCTGGGTTGTCACAGTTGGATGTGATTGTCTGGTCCAGCCACCTTTTGCAAGTAATGGGCCACTGTCTCCTCACAGATGTTCCCCATTGAGTGCCCCATACTGAGAACTGATGCACCCCACAGCGAGGTTATTGCAGACCAAATAGCGAGGTTTTATAGAGGTCCCATTGTTTGTGCACTGAAGGGTGACTGAGAAGAGTAGATGTGACAGGATTCTCTAGAAGGAGAAAGTTCTCAGAAGGAAATACTTTTGATTTCTTCAAAGCAGTTTTCTCATCTTCTGCACTGGCTTTGCCTTTTGAAGAAGTGTACAGTTAGAATGCGAAAAACAAAAAAACAAGCACATGTGATTTGTTAAGTGGCACCAGGATTCAGGTGCTTTACAGGGAAATAACCAGTCAGATCTCTGCCCATAAGAACTTAAAATCCTAAAGTTTGTTACAGTGCTGGCTATAGGGAGAAATAGGTAAGGTAAATGGGGAGGAATATTCACCGTCAAGGACATTGTCTTTATTTGCCATTCTCTGCTTTCAGGAATGTTCAGAAGCGGTCGGTCGTGGTAAAGGATGAGTCCCTGCAAACGATTTTAGCAGGTAATGACATAATTTCACTGGTAGCCCTAATCAGAAGTAAAGAGCTGCATGTATGCCATATACTAAAAAAGGTACATGGGCAAAAGCCAGAATACACAACCTGGGCACAACTTCCTCTGCTGGGTGCCCATGTTTGAGCCCCATTATTCAGTCTTCCCCTACAGCTACTTTGCAGCTGCTGCACCACCACCACCCCTCGGCACCCTGTGCCCAGTTCTTTGTCTTTTCTGGTCTCCCAGCATGTTGCAGGCAAAAGAGGACCGGAAGAGGAAAAAACTCACCCTTTGTTATTCCCTCCAGCTCAAATGCATAAAAAGAGACTGATTTTTAAATGCCTCTTTTTTTTTTCTTGACTTGTAAGTTAAATGCCTTGTTAAGTCTTTTTTAGAACCTGATGTGACTCAGTAGCCAAAACGTGGTTACCCCGACATATAGCAATGTATTGTATGCAGAATATAGTGTGTTGGCTAGTGAATGCAACCTGTGAATTTAAAAAGAGCTGTCTTATGTTGTATCAGACTTTAGCTCAGTGCAGGACACCTTGGCAAGTAGCAGCCCTCCAGGATCTCCAGCAGAGGTCTTTCTCAGCCCTGCTTTTTTTAAAAAAAAAAATCCCATAATTTGGAAATGCCTGGGATCAAATCTGCATGCAAAAGCGTTTGCTGTACCACTGAGAGATGATGCATCTGACCAAGTGCTGCCTATTAAAACAGCAGCACTCCGAGATCTCAGGCAAGGGTCTTTCCAGACAACCACTAGAGATGCCAAGTACCAAAAGCAGCATTTGTGGATGTAAAATTTGTGCTCTGCCACTGAGGCTGAGCTATCACCCCGTTTGATTTTTTTTGCTGCAAGGAAGTCTTGTCTTTTGGTTTGATTTCCTTCTCTTTTTTTTCTTTCGTTTCTTAAGGCAGTGAAACAACTGTGTCTCAGATCTTATTGACACAGCATGGCATCCCAGTAATGAATATGTCTGATGGAAAAGCATATTGCTTTAACCCTTCTCTTTCCTCCTGGTAAGTGTCAATCGAGAAACGTTTTTCTGCTTTCATTCTTAAGCCAAGTGGGATCAGACCTAGCTTAGTTCTTCACTTCCTTTTGAATGTTTGTCCTTTAAAATGTATGGCAACTGTCCATAAGTTGCTCCCCCACCCCCCATCCTTGAGCAGTCTTCTCAACTTCAGTGATCTTGTTCTGCAATAAGGCAGCTTTAAATTTGAAGCCTGTTGCTTTGCAATGTGCTACCTCGCTACTGAAAACATGAATTTGCTTAACAGTTTTGGCAAGGTTCAGACATCCATCTATCTATCTATCTATCTATCTATCTATCTATCTATCTATCCACTGAACTTTATTTAAACCTAATTCTGCCCTAATAAAGTGACAAACTAACCCAAGGCACCATCCCAAACCAATCCCTCAATCCACTGGAAGTAGTGCAGGGTAGGCGAAAAAGACCCCTTCTCAATAGCCAATCAGAGAAGGGGACAAAAAATTCCTACCCGGCCCCCCGTTAAACAGGGCAACCAACCTGTGCTTACACTACATACAGGGCGGGTGGTGTTAGATCGCTGCTAACAAAGACATATAGCTTGCAAGGTGGCGACCGGGTGGTTGCTCCGGTGCTGAGCTCCCCCGTGGTACGGTTAGCTAGGGCATTTTATGATATTTTAACTGCAATTTGTGAGGTAAATTGTTGTAGGTAGGGTAGGGTAGATAGGAAGCAAGTTGGCAAGGAAGCAGGACGCCCGGCTTGGAACTATAACATCATTATTACTTAAGACCGGAGAGGACTCGTGTACCTCGGGAAGACTGGAAACATAGCCGAGCCGAGCCGGGCCGTGGGTCACCGTTGGGCCGCTGAGCTATCGCGACACGACGTCGAGGTGCTGGCCCTTCGAGTGCCGCCCCCCCCCCCAGTCGGCTGGGACGCCGAGGTGCCGAGGTGCCGGCCCCCCCTCTTTCGAGCTGTGTGCGGCGCTGAGCCGCGGAACGTCCTGGGATCGCTGACTCACCGGTTAACGCGGTGGCGCCGACTCTTCGAGCTGCCGGCTCGCCCCCCTCCTCCCGGCCCCCTGAATAGCGATCATTGGGCTGTGTTAGTCCATTGGGCTGTGGAGGAGTTTGGGGCGTCGACCTGCGGGGCTGCGGAGGCGTGGAGCTTGAGTTGCAGCAGCAGGGCCGCGGCAGCTGCATCGAGTTGCGCCGGTTCGCAGAGCCGCGGAGGCACTTGGACGCTGTTCTGTTAAACCGTGTCCCCGGCTGGGGTGAGGACTGCCTGGAGTGTGAAGGGCGGCTCCCCCCCCCTTCCCGGAGGGTTTGGGTCTTGGATGTGATAGGAGTCCCCCAGGATTTGGAGTGGGAGCTGAGTGGACTACCTCCCCCCTCCAGAAGAACGGAACTTTCCTGGAGAAGCCTGGGCCAACTGCTGGTGTTGGTTGGGGTCTGTGAGAGAGACCATTTCATCGGGTCTGTGAGAGAGACCACTCCACCGGCCGATACAGGATATCGTGGCGACCAGTGAGGCAGGGGCAGTGTTGGAAATTAACCGGCTGTGAGAGAGCCAGTGGACTTGGAGCGAGTCTCCCGGTGGTGTGAGAGCCGGGATCGAGCCCTCTCCCTTTCAGCTGCCCCCCCCTCTCCTTCTCCCTCTCCCCCCCCCTATTTTACTTTTATGATCTATAGGGGTTGGGGGTTATTGATCCTGGGGAATCCTATGTTGTGGGACCTAAATTGCGGCCGAGAAACATCACATGGACAGAGACCCATGGAGCAGGGCCAACATATTGACTTATATCGACCGCCCCAACACGATTGGGGCATAGTTTGCTACAAGGGCAAGGAGTACACCAGGGCTTGCTGGGGTTGCCTGGATGGCGGCCGCAGTGGAGACTTAATTCCATCAGAGCCCCCCAATATTGGAGTGGGGAACCATCATCGATGTGAAGAATCTGTTGCCAACTGTGGGAGTTTCGAGAGATATTAATCTTATATTAGTGGGCCTACAGGAGTGTGAGTGTATTTGTGGAGTGTATGCGTGTATGTAGTGTTGGTGTGACTGCTGGGGTATGTGGTGGTGGGAAGAATACCCCGGACTTGGACTTCTAGAAACAAATTTTTACACTGCGTAGCACTTAGTTGTTTTATATTGCAGTTACGGGTTTAATCTGTGCTGAGCGTTATCAACTGACGGCTGAAGTTCTTGACGGAGCCTGTCAAATATTTAATGTCGGGACGGCTTATTCCAGTGCTCTTGGGGAGAGGGAAGTATGGCGGTGGGTCACGGCAGAAAGTACCGGGAAGGACGCGGAGAAACAGTGCGGCTCGGCGTCCTTCCAGCCTGCGACCCATCCCGAGGGTGACTGGCAGCGGGGCCAGGATTGGAAACCCCCCTCCGTCATTGATGCTGTGCAACGCCAGGTCGATTAACAACAAGGCTGAAGTCCTTCGGGACTTCATACTGGAACAGCAAGCTGACCTGGCGTGCATGACCGAGACCTGGGTTCGGGAGGGCGAGACGGTTGCGCTCGCCCAACTTGCCCCACCGGGGTTCTCGGTCCTCCATCAATCACGGACTAGGGGGCGGGGGGGAGGAGTGGCATTTTTCATTCGGGAGGCTTACTCCTTCAGGGCGCTCCCGCAGGTAGAGATCGCGGGCATTGAATGTGTCGGTTTGCTGCTGGAGGCCGAGGAGAGTTTGGCGATTTGGCTGGTGTACCGACCACCTAACGCCCCGGCCGATAGCCTGCCATCCCTGCTGGAGGCCGTATCAGGCTGGGCGCTGGAGCACCCTAGACTGTTAGTCCTGGGTGACTTCAACGTCCATGCTGAGGACGCGACCTCCAGCCGGGCTATGGACCTAGTGTCGTCCATGGCGACGCTGGGACTCTCCCAGTCCATCTCGGCCCCCACGCATCGGGCCGGTCACATGCTCGATTTAATCTTTGCAGCGGGAGTTCTGGTGGACCGGATCACTGTTTCGGCAGTGCCATGGTCGGACCACCATGTCCTGGGGGCCCGTCTGAATTTTCCACTCCGACCTCGTTTAGGTGGTGAGCAGATTTTTGCTCGCCCGCGGAGCCAAATGGACCCTATGCGGCTTCAGAGGGCTCTGCGGGATCCTAGGCCCCCTGGCGGCTCGTTGGATGAGCTGGTGGAGGATTGGAATGGCCGACTCT